CACGTCCAAATTATAAGTCGCTTTGATTTTTAAGTCATCCATTTTACTATGTATTTATGTATTTAGATATATTATTATATCTAGATGTATAGTAAAATAAATGTACTAAAAAAGTCAAAGCGGCTTATAATTTAGAAGCGCAGTACTAGTTACACTTTCTTCTCTCAACAATTGCACATGTCTGATGCATACAGAGCGTGCACGATGAGGGGCAGCGCAGAGTGCAGACTGCACAGGTTTTCTTTCGTTTCAGGGCTTTGTTTAGTTGCCCAAAGTTGGAAGTTTTGGAAGTTAGGAGTTTTCTGTAGTATTTCGTTTGTATTTGTGAATTATTATCCAAACATTGACTAATTAGGCTTAAAAGTTTCGTCTCGTAAAGTTAAAGCAAACTGTGTAATTAGTTATTTTTTATATCTATATTTAATGCTCGATACATATATCAAAGATTTGATGTGATGTGATATGATGGGAAATCTTGCACTTTTTGCTTTTTGAGGTACAAACTTGGTGCAACTAAACAACGCCGAAAATCTTACTGTTTGTTTCGACAGATTACCCACACCGGACCAGACCGGGCTACAATTTCCCTTCACTCATCTGTCTTCTCGAGTGTCCTTTGCTGTTGCCTTCCTTGTCCCCAGAGGAAAAACCGAAAAACAAGCACCCGGATACACAGAGCACATGATTGTGGAGGGCTGGAGGTGTCCATCATCCACAGCAGGTACGGACACAGAAGTTTTGAGACACGGACACACAGACACAGGGCATGGGGCATGGCCGCATGGTTGAGATCAGGGCCTCGTTTAGTTGCGGGCGAAATCGGCGCCGCCCTAGGTACTGGGGCATGGCCGCATGGTTGAGATCAGGGCCTCGTTTAGTTGCGGGCGAAATCGGCGCCGCCCTAGGTACTGCCACGGGGTCGTCGTCTTGTTTGATAATAATTGTCCAAGCGATGATTAATTAGCGTTAGCTCTCAACCAAACCGCGGACTAGTTTTTGATTTAAATCAACATTTAATCTCCGCCCGTTGATGTGCACGTGCCGTATAGTCTGAAAAATTCGTTTGGGCCACGTTTAGTTGGTACCCAACTCGGCGTCGCCAGATTCTGTGGTCACTGTAGAAGGATCTTATCGTTTTATTTGAGGCTGGCTCTTAGTTTTTGATTTCGCTCATTTAATACCCATGGGCTGCACGCAAAGCGCATGTGGAGTGGATAGTCTTGCCAAATTCTGGAATTTGAGAGAACTAAACATGCCCTTGGAGGAACTAAACACCCCCCAGATAGATGGCGGCCAGTAGAATTCTCGCAACGTGCGTGCCGCTGCAGGCCGCCCCGGTCGTACGCCGTGGGCACGGAACAGCTGCCGGCCCGCCCGGGGTCGTCGTCTTGTTTGTTCTGCAGCGCGGCGCGGCGCTCGTTGCGGCCTTGTCCCTCTCGTGCCCGTTGTCTGCACGTGCCGTAGATGGCGTTGGGACGCCTCGCCTGGCCGGCCGGAACAGGACGACAGGAGGTTGTGGAAGGGCATCCGAGGCTGGCTCTGGGCTCTGGGCCTGGGCTGCACGCAACGCGCAGCTGGAGTGGATGCATGCAGAGACAAGCTGCCGGCTGCGCGGCTTCAGGGGAGTGGATCAGTGGAATAAGGCCCCGGCAGCCGGCAGCCGGCAGCCGGCACTTCCTCCGGCGTCGCGTCTGTTTGCGCATGTGGTGGCCTGTCATCCGTGGAGGGGACTTCCTCAGAGGAGGAACGAAGGAACAAACCCACCTGCATGCGAATAGTCCATGGATGATGTTTACAGTTTCAGTATATATATACGCACGCCCCAGTTTGGACAGAAAGTACACGCCCGCTTGGTGCAGGTTAATCTGCACCACGACCACGACCACGACCAACTGACCAAGGCAACGCATAGTAGGAGTAATGCCATGAAATGTGCGCTGTAGTATATTCTAGCTGCGTGCGAATAGTGTACATGGAGCACGCAGCAAGTAATGGGTACAGGTAGCGTATGCTAGTAGTAGATGAGGAGCACGTAGAAAACGCGGGCAGAGTGTGCCGTACCGAGCAGCACGAAAGCCAGAAGGTGCGCCGGCATGGCCGGGCTACCGCAAGTTGCAACTGTGGGAGCACATGCTGCTGCTGGAAGTGACGACAAAGCAATCGTGTGTGTACGCATCATTAGGTTAATGGATTCGTGTAGTACCAGTATTTAGCAGGGAAAATCCGCCGCGGATCCCCCCCTGTGCGTGCGTCCGGCGTGCTGCTACCTGCAGGTCCACACGTCGTGTCACGCCAAACCAGTGCGTTTAGGGCAGGGTTGATCGATCCGTGACAAAATATTGGCGTCGATCGAGCGCCCACCCACCCGGACGGAACCAACCAGCAATTCAACATGGAGGCGCGGTTAGTTGTGGGCGCGTGGCCGCGTGGTGTACCGGCGCCCGCCGTACGCGCGATCTGCGGCCGGCACCACCGCCGCGAAATTAATGGGGCACATGGCCATCCACCCGCCCGCTCGCCCGTGTGCTGTGTGTGACGACGATGGAGCCGGATCGTGCGCTCCGCCGGCCCGGGTGCACGGGCGGGCGTCCCGGCCAACACCCGTCACCCGTGCATGTCTTCCTGCTGGGTACGACTACGAGCACTTGCTGGATCCAAGCCTGAACGGAGGGTAAATACTTACATGTCAGTATCGCTCGTTCTATAGCGAAGTAAGCTTAAGATGGTATGGTGTCGTGCTCGGGTCCACACTCCAGGGTGAGATCCATGGAGGAACAGGAACCTCGTTATTGCCGGTCACTTGAACCGGCCTGTGCTGGCGTGCTGCCACTGCCACTGCCACACCTGAACCAGTACGTCCATGCAACTACCGACTCGATCTCTCGTCGAGTAGAAACTAACTGCAGGTCGGGGCAATCGTACGTGCCTTGTCGTTACGGAACGCAGAACACGCTCAACAAACAATACATGTGACCATGTACGACTACTCTTTGGTCCTTACAGCGCTGCGTGTCGCCTGGCTGTTCCGACGACGCAGCCGGGCCAGCCACTTGGTTCCACGAACCTCCGCGTTCAGAACCCAGACCAGACCACAAGTTTGAGCAGTTTTCGCTGCCGTCTGTGGTCATTATTACCCTGTCTGCCTCGTGCCGAGCCGCGGGCAGCACCAGGTATCAGATGGACCGACCGGGGTAGGCGCAAGCGCAACGCAACAGAGTCTGAGACGAGATGCCCGAAATGTGCCGGAAGGAATAGGATTGCGCGAACAAGATGGATCAGGTCATCAGGATCACCATCACACCTGGGTATGGGGGTATGCTGCAACTTGCCAGAACAGACAGAGAAGGATAATCATGGTGTGCAATCAACCGGGACCGAACGATAACGCGTGCTAGCCCTCGCTTGTCCTCTTGGCGAGGCGAAGACGACGACGACGATCCCCGAACAGTGCCCGCGGATCCACCGCGCGTACGTGCCCATGGCCAGACGCCAATCAAGGGCCCTTGTCCCCATCTAACAACCGCCGCTTTGCATTTCGCATCCGCATCCGCATGCGGCGGGGGACGCGGGTGGTGGGAGCTCTCTGCTCGTGACGGATGGGGTCGTGGGGATGTATACGAGACAAACAGCGATGATACACAATCCATCTTCGGTTATTGTTCAGAGCTGTGGCGCTATCTGTTTCAGCAGCCAACTCGGCTGGGGGTCTGGGTGAGCCAGCACAATTTTGCTGAACTTTTAAAAAGTTCACGCTTCGTGTTCTGACTTTCAGAGTGTTTGTGCTGAACTGAATCAAGTTCACATCTTCGTCGTCTTCTGACTTCCAGAGTCCAGGCCCAGCAGAAAATATAGGTCAAGTAAAATAACCCTACACTTCAACCACCAATGTTGTCTTGTAGGAGATGGCGATAACTAGTACTACTAACTACTGTGAGAAAATGGATCCAGCAATAAAAATTGAAGTTTCCATCCCATAGTGTGCACTCCTGGAGTACTATTTTTTTTAATCTCCCGACAGGGAATCGTCGTCTACGTTTCCTGTTCAACTTTCAGTTAGTGCTGCACCAGCAGTACCAGTCACCCTACTCTATTATCACTGTACTATCTATGAGCTCCTTAGTAGTAATTCAGCACATCAGCAGCCAGCGGCAGGTGGCTGTTGCTGGTACGGCCTACAGTACCTTGTGTGGGAGAAGCAGCCGGAAGCAGCCAGCCGAGTACCAGCCGAACACTGCCGGCATGAGCTACCTCTTTGACTCCCTAATTAATGAAGATCAACCTGCACATCAACGTGGGCACGCAAAGGAGCATCCTACACATGGTGTTTGTCCTCTTTGCAAAGGACAACACAGGCCCCCTCCCTCTTCCTCACTCACTCCGTTTGGAACTGAAGCCACCTCTCTTCTCTCAATGCACCTCTGCTCAGTGCTCAGATTCCAAATGTGGTGTGTGCTTTACTTCTTTCATTGCTATTGTCACAGAATGGACAAAGCCCCATCACTTAACAAAAGCCCATATGCTGTTCTTTTATATGGCCACGCCATGGTGGGGCCACAGCAGATCTGCCTGCTGCTAACCTGGGAAAATGGTTTGTTTGTTGCTTGCTTAGAGAACCGAGTGTCTCACTTCCTTTCTTTCTTTATACTTAGCAGGCCAGGCACACACTTTTGCAGCTTTGAACTTTCAGACTGCTGCTTTTAACATACATCCTGGCGTGTTTAGTCCTACTAGTAGGCCTCAACTGCTGCTCTGTTAACAAAGGATAAATGCTTGTCCTTTTGCCACCAATATCATATTTGCAAACATATATGTAGCTGGCAGGAACCCGATGCAGGAAAGCGACCAAGAGTCCAAGGCTTCGGAGTTTGGGCAAAAAGAATTCCACATCAAGCAAACAAGCCTCAGATTGTACACATCCTCACTCTCTACTGTTTTATTCTTTTTTTTTTCTTAGTTCTGACCAACACAACACGAGGGTAGCTGCTGCCAATCGACTCCGATCAACAAGATGTAGCTGCTGCCAATCGACAATGCGAGGCGAGCATGTCGCACACGGTCTCCCTCTTGATGTCGTCGAAGATGAGGGTCTCTATCCTGGCGCCGATCTCCCTGACCTCCGGCTTCGGCTCCCGCCATTGCCGCGCGGACCGCGACAGGTCCAGCTCCATCATCGCCGGTATCCTGGAGATCTCCCCCGCGATCTTCTCCCACGACGAGATCTGCTCCTCTATGGACCTCCTGTTTCGGACCGTCTCCTCCTCGGCCTCGTCGTCCACCTCCATCTCGCAGAACTTGTCGTGGAGGTTGTAGCTGAAGCATGGGGAGGCCGGGCCCAGGAAAGACTCGGACGGAGGTGAGCTCCCGGAGGTGGATGGCTTCTCGTCGCCCCCTGTCGGAAGTAACAACAGAGGAAAAAAATTAATTAACATTGCCTTTTTCACATGCTAGTGTGGATTATTCAGCTTCTACTGACTGAGGACACTGAAGAACTGAGAACAAGTGACATGTGTATAATAAACACCCAAAAAAAATTAAAAAGTTTTGGCCTAAAAGAAGACAAGGAACATTTACAGACAAGAAAGAAAAAGAAAGAACATTGAAATGATAACAAGCCTGCAGGATAAATAGAGTACTCCTATTTTATATAATCGAGTAGTAACATGTATAGCCATGGTAAAAAAAAAATCGTAGCTCATCAGCTGCGAAAGTAGAAACTGAATTAATCAGAATGGCAGTAGATGTGCGAGTGAGAGTGAGCTTACAGTGGGAATGCACCGGCGACTCGTCGTTGTCGTCGTCGGAGTGCAGGGCGAGGACGGAGACCGGGCTGAGCTGGCGCGACGAGTCGACGTCCATGTCGGCCTTCCACCCCATCCGCTCCTCCTCCTCCCCATCGTCCCCAGGAAACACCATGGCGCGAGGGTCGCACTCGCCGCTGTCCCCGAGGGAGCGGCGGCGCAGGCGGCGGAACTCGCGAGCGCCGCAGGCGCTGGCGCCGGAGAAGCAGCCGCCGCCGCCGAGGTCGTCCCAGCGCAGCACCCGGCGCATGGCCCTGCTGCACAGCACCTTGCTCAGCGCCGACCTGAGGCCGCCCGAGCCGCCAGTGCCGCCGCCGCCGGCGGCGGCCCTCCTCTTCTTGAACCCGTGGTTGCAGAGCCTGAGCAGCCGCCGGCACGCGGCGGCGGGGCAGCAGCCGGCCAGTCCTCCTCCTGCTGCCGCCGCCCCGCTCGCGCCCCGGCCGCGCCGGGGCCGCCTTGCCCTGGCGGCCTCGACGAGGAACGGTTCCTGCTGCTCCTGCAGCAGCTCCGAGAGCCTCCTCGCGGCGGCCATTGGCCCCTCGCCTTCTCGGGGCAATGCGCGCGGGCACGCAGCAGCTCGCGGCTCGTAGAGTCGTAGCAGCTCAACGGGTGGTCAAGAACAAGAAGGCAGGCGCCAGGTACGGGACGATGCTGCTCATCGTGAGGGGACGAGGGTCATGGAAGCGGCGCGGCGACGGCTTCGCTGAACGCTGGAGGAGAGGAGATGAGGGGTCAGGGGCGGCGTGGGTTCTTGTGCGCATGTGACGGCAAAGGTGTGGGGGGTAGTCTAGAGGAGGGACGGGGATCATAGTATTCTCATATCCTGGGGTGGTTCGAGCTCGGGGGGTCCCCGGCCCCGCGGTGGTTGTTGGGTAGTGGCACTGGACCTGGACGTGCGTGGAGTGGGAGGGGAGTGAGCGAGGAGTGGCCGAGTGGGAGGGGAGTGCCGGAGTTCGTTGCTTGGGCCTGGCTATAGCCCGTGGCAACTGGCGAGCGACACCGTGCCGCTGTGCGAGTGCGAGGGGAGGGACCGAGGGAGAACGGCCCCCGGCCTCCTGCTGCTGCTCTCGGGTCGTCTGCAGACTGCAGTGACAGAGGCGGACTGATCAGAAAAGTGCGTCGCAGTAGTTCGCCATCGTGGCATCCCAGCAGGCCGGCAGGGAGAAAAGTGCGAGGTTTTCACCGCCCGTCTGGCGTGGTAAACTTGCAAGTGAACACTTGCTTCAAAATTATTCCTTTTACAGTTTAAAAAATAAAACTATTCCTTTTACTGTTGCTATCCATCCCATAAAAACAGTTAAAAACACAAAAGAGGGGGTTGTTGGTTAAAAAAACATCGCATGCTTTTTCTACACCACGACATGGAGCACTAAAACAATTTTTTTGGCAATGGTAGTTGGTTAGATGGGCGTTGCTAAAAACTTGGCACGACATCTTTATTCTCTGATCAAAAGAAAGAGCAAGGGTTATGCAGGAATTACTGAACATTTTTTGGATCCAGACACTTAAGAGGGAAAAACCACAATGACCACTCAACTTGAGGGAGTTCATCTCCCTATGGATTTGATTGCAATCCATCCACCTACACTCGGATGTGGGCGACGCAAACCCATGGAGATGGGCTGCCAACGGACAATGCATGATAAAATCACTATATCTAGCGTAAAGTTCTATGCATGGGAGCTTCAAGTACTATCAGAACAACGTGACATCATCATCTGTCAAGCACGTGTTAAAACACAAGTGCAAATTCTTTGCCTGGACCTTGATCTAGAATCAAATCCTCATGATTGACAATCTTACTACGTGTCAGGCGACAAACATCTCGTCACTTTGCAATGGGCCTATGAAGAGTGGCATACACCTTTGCATGCACGACAAGCAAGTGTTGACTATCCAGTCAAGTACTCGAATGGGAGCAATTCATCCTTGCCCACGATTCACAACCTACGAAAATTAAGCAGAATTTGTGAGGAAGTGTCATAATTGAAAGTCTCTCAAGAGCAACACCTTATTTTAAATAGGATGATCATATACATTGTAAGGAATATTTAGAAACAACACACCTGATGCATGTCCATATTTTGCCCGTCTCCGTTAACTGATTTTGTCCGCCTCCAATTAGATTTATGTAGTAGTGAGAAAAACTACGTATCTATAAGTGAACGTTTTGTTATTTGGAATAGAGGGAGTACTTCTTTTTGTTTTTTCAAAAAGAAGACCAAGATCAAGATTCATTCAAACGAGATACTCCTTCGGTCCCTAAATAATTGTCGTATTTTCGTACCATAAGTTTAACTAAATTTGTAAAAAGATTCATGCAACATTTGTATCTTCAAATAAATTTAATATGAAAATGGATTCAATGATATATCTAATGATATTAATCATGTACTATAAATATTAAAATATATATATATAATTAGTCAAAGTTATTTCTCAGAAAACGAAGACGACAGTTATTTAGGGATAGAGAGTACCACTTATCCCCTAGCTATAGCGTCACCGTTATATTTATCAATTTGTATTACAAAATACTCCGAGGAACTCGTTAGCGTACGAACGAAACCGATCAGTGGCAGTCGAAGCAGGATGCAACTACAGATTGGTTCGCGATTCACGTAGCCGTCTCGCAGTTACTATCGCTGCCTCAAGCAATTAGCCAGGGAGTCAACTGTGGATCATTAGATGCCACCTGAAGATGCATCAGGAATTCAGAAATCCAGAGACGTGCCCAGAGTCCAGAGACAGATAGGCTAACTGGCACCGGTAGGAAGGGGGTAAACGGCAACAACAAAGCTCCAACGAAACGCCCACAGGTTGGCATGGCCTGGCTGGCTGGCATGGCAGCAGGCCCCCTCAGTGAATCGCCAGGCTTTTTGCCCGTCCAAAATGCACGAGCTGCTACTACTCTGCTAGCCTGCTATTGCCGGTTCTGTGCTCTTAACGCGTCCACCGTCCAGTGAGGCAGTGAAGCCCAGGAGATTCAAACTCCGGGTCAAGATTTTTATAATGCCGGAGTTTTAATTTGAGGTGGCCATGCTCGCCGCTCGTCAGTGACTCGTGCAGCCAGCAGCCCAGCTGGTAAAAGTGTGTTTGCAGACAAACCACTAGTGCTAACAGTGCTGCACATGCACGCCCCTACCGACTTTTGCTGCCGGCCATGCATGTCCACCTGTCCAGAGCCCAGAGACCCCAGACCCAGAGGGCCAGAGGAGCTCACAGCCTCTCTCGTCACTGTTGAGCAATGCCCCTCTCCGGAGGGACAGCGCAAAGGGGCAGAGATGCTAGCACGAGCACCCAAGCAGCAGTCTAGCACCTTTTTCTTGCACACGCAGTCCCGGACGCGCAGGACATGGGGCTCCCATTAGCTCTTGCAAATGATAGCGCTCCCCGCAGGGAACTTTTGCGAGGCGAAGGCCATGAAACCTGTGAGCTATCAGTGGCACTGTGGCAGCTAGCGTCGCTGCTTCCTTCCGCTCATTGGGGGCCTTTCTGCTGGTGAAAATTTATTAGTAGCAGCTGGATGTTCCGAGGATCATAGGAGTAGATGATAGATGGATGGACTCATGGACACACAGCTCTATGGGTGGGCAGTGGAGTGCATCAGAATTCAGAAGCGGAGCCCGGAGGAGATTGGTTGCTTTGCACTCTGACGCGTGACTGCGTGAGCCGGTCCGGTGGCAGGAATCAGGATCAGAGATTCAGAGTCGAGGGCGATGGATCATGGACAGGACAGACACAGCTCCATCTGTAGCTCGAACTGGAACCGGTCAGCAGGCAGCAGCAGAGGTGAAAGTGAAAACCGACCTGGAACATTTGAACAAATGAGTGGATGACTGGCTTTCAGTTCAAGTGAAAAACTCGAAAATCAATTGAACGATGATGAGTTTGGTAAGCCCAGAAGTGTGCAGAGCCTTTTAGGGCTTTCAAGAAAAAACAGGGATCCATCTTGTGCTAATAAAGGGGGAAAAAAGCAACGTACTCCGCGGAAATAAGTGCCCCTACGCAGCCCCGCGCGCATTGACCGGTCTCGTGTTGGTCAGCTTAGACTCAACTGAGACGCTCGAGTGCTAGTGCTACCATACGCCACTTTTACGTAGCCTCTGGTTTAGGACTTTTAGGTAAAAGGAAACGTGACTTCTTTGTTTCAGCGTCCATACAGCTTAGCCCATTAACGTGTCATTTTAGTAGAGATAGTATATTACTTCCCCATTCCAAGTTATAAAATATTTTTAGCTTTTCTAGGTACATTGTTTTTGCTATTTATTTAGACATACACGATATTTAAATGCATGACAAAAGCTATAAATCTATAAAACCAAAACATCTTATATAATTTAAAAAGAAGGAAGTATATTAGCGCACATAATAACTATTACAAAAACTCTTATCTATGTCACTATGTGACAAAATTATTTCGTTGCCATCCAAATCTATACGGATATCTCAATTGCCATCAGAAATTACAAGTTCCCTTCAATGCGATTGATTCTATTTTTAGTCTTACGTGCCACCGCTCTATTTTTGCATATAAACTATGTTGCAACATGTCCATCTTTTAACATAATGCTGATTTTACTACTCTCGTATATCGAAAGCCATCGTTCACAACTTGCGCTATATCGCAAATCGATCCCATTCATGCAAGTGTGCACGACAGTTGGTGGTGGGCAACCATGCACCGACGGGTAGGCGTTCTTAGACGGTCACCAACAACCACGACCCAAAATACAAGACATATTCATTCTTTGGGTAGCGTTACAGGCAAATGGTTCAATACCTATTTTTGGTCTTCTCTAACAACAAGACGCAAAAGACAACCATTTCTGCAAATGGGTCTCCAGGAGAAAGGATACTCAGATTTAGGTTATTCCTCTCCCGACACCAAAAATTGGTCTTCCATATAGGTATTCTGTTGGAGACTATAGATATTGTGTTGGAGTCTCATTTTGGATTTGGGTTCCGTAATAGGTCTCCCATTGGAGACAGCCTTAGGCGCACAAATTAAAGCTCGGATGCAGGCAAGCGCCCTTGAGTGCGGCGGCGATGAGGGCAAGATGCAAGCACGTGGGAGGGCAGGCAGGCGGCTCTCCGCGGGCGCGTGTTGCCTGGCCTTAGGCGTGACCTAAAACCTCTAAAAGCAACAATCTAAGGTGGCCCTACCACTCCAAATACATCGACAGCCCAACATCCACCTAGGATTGCAGTACGCTAGTAACGTCCTAGTGTTGGCATCTCTCTCTCTCTCTCTCTCTCTCTCTCTCTCTCTCTCTCTCTCTCATTTCGCTTTCTCTCATTTCGCTTTGCCTCTCACCTCTTCTCTTTCGGCTCTTCGATTGCTTAGTCACCCCCTACTACATGATGACGAAACCTAAGCACTGGACTGTTGGAGGATCCAAATTGAGGGGCAGTGCTTGCAAATAAAACTTCGGCAAGGCCAAATCATAGGCCAGTTTTGGCAAACCGTGGTTTTGTGTGCCTAATAGGACCTTGCACAATAACATGCAGCATGGTGTTATCCTTGTGAGC